GGGCGAATGAAGGGAACGCAGAGCTTCCTGCACCGGGACTCCCGCACTCCTCCCCGAGGCCCTGCGAGGAGGCTGTCACCCCCACTTCCCAGCTCAGGCACTGGCTCCGAAGGCTGCCTGCCTGGCCCAAGGTCACACGGCAAGCGGCAGAGCCAGGCTCCAACTCTGATGGCAGAGCCCGGGCCTCCCACTCCACCGCCCCTCCTTTGCATAAGTTATTTATGGAATTCAGACTCTGCAAGACTAGATAAACGCGGAGGTCTCCTCCGGCTCTGAGGTCCTGCTTGTCTGCGATTAAATGAGAGGTGGGAGTGAGGGGCCGGGCTCCCCTCCCAGGAGGAGCAGGAGGCCAGGTGCGCAGATGGAGGGCTGGCCTCCCTCCCTCTGCACCCCTCCCACCCCGCGCTTATCTGCCGGTGAGGAGGCCGGAGTTTATCAACGCTACACTCAATTACGCTGCCCATCTGTCTCCGCAGCTCAGGGGGACCTGACGCTGAAGCAGCGAAGGCCAGGCCATCGATCACCACCGCCGCTGCTCCTTCCGGACCCTTGGCTCCAGCTCTGGAGGCTGGGTGGAGGCCGCGCCGGAGGGAAGGGGAGAGAGGGGAGGGCGAGGCGAGAGCCCACGTCCACCGACCGACCTCCTGGGGGAGCCCCCTGTCATGTAGGAGCAGCCGGATGGAGCAGCTGCACACACAGCTTTTCCCAAAGTCTTCATTAGTTGCTCTGCCAAGGGCCCGAGTTTAACAGGAAATGTAAGGGACCAGTGCCACCCTGGAGTGGATGGCCCTGCTTCCCTGACTGTGGCCCCAGAGCTTTCAGTCTCCTGTCACTGCAGGCCAAGGCTAGCAGGCAGCCCCCAGCCCCCAATCAGAGGGCAGGCCGAGGTCCACGTGCAGCCCGCTGGCTCTGTTTGTCCGTTTGCGATGCCGGCCCAGCCACACTCACACAGGAGCAATGTCTTCCCTCTGCTGTCCCCCAAGTCGGGGGCAGGGGGTCGCTCTAGCCCTGAATCAAGGAATGGTGTGTGCAGGGCCCATCAGGTGGCTGTAGGGGCGGAGGAGCTGAGGACCCAGGTCATCTCTGAAGGCACACGGGGCCGGCCCCGTGCTCTGCTCCCGTAAGGCCGGCCTGGATCCGCCAGGCGGCAAGCTTTGGCTGGGCTGGTGGCCCAGGTTGTGGAGTCCGAGGCCTAGGTTTTAATCCCAACCCTGCCATGTGGACGTTTGCTCAACCTCTGACGAGTCATGTGACCCGTCGGAGCCTCAGTTGCTTCCCTTGCAGGATGAGACTACAAAATCCCTCCTCTGCCCACGCGCGGGCTTGATGGGGGGGGGGGCTCCCCACTGGCGTCCATCTACAAGGCCCCTCCGCGTGCTTGGCCCTGCGCCTGGTGCCGTGGGGGCACAGAAAGCGTGTGCGGCATGGCCCCCGCCACGAGGAGCTCGAAATCCAGGTGGGGAAAATGTCCACGCAGTCGTGTGAACTCCTGCTCACCCCGGAGATCACAGATAGAAGACAATTAGCTTTCTCCGCAGCTCCCGGCAGAAACTGCTAATCAGCCTGCACGGGTGGGCAGGTGCAAGACAGTCTGAGACGGCGATGGCAGGTGAGTGGGCAGCTCTGCCTTCCTCCCTGGAAGGGGCTGTGCGCTCAGCCGCGAGGGGGAGGACTCTTCTGGGCCTTTGCCAAGCCTTGGGATCAGAGGTGCGGCCGAACGTGAGTCATTGAGCCACCGCCTCCCTCTGGGCGCCGAACGCCCGCCCTGGGCTCCTGGCGGGGGAGCAGGTGCACTGCCTCACCCATCCAGCCAGAGGGACTGCTGCGTGGGGTGGAGGAAAAGGTTTTGAATTCAGTCTTAAGTGGTTCCTTCATCCCCGCCACGCAGCTGAGCCTCCGCAGAACGGAGGCGTTAGAGCCAAGGTGGTGGAGGAGAGACCCCTGCGGCTCAGATCGTGTCTGAAGGCCAAGGGGGAGGCCCGGCCCGGCCCGGCCCGGCCTGGCGGGAGACCCCTCTCCACTCACTGCAGGCTTCTCTGCCCTTCGGGACTGTCCTGCGCTCTTCTAATCACTTTGCAGTTTTCAGCCCTGCCGGAGTGGAGGAGGTTAATGTCGTGACGTGTTATCTATTTCTGTTCCTCGCTCCTCCATGCCACCCGGAGGCAACGCTGGGCCACGGTGGGCAAGCCCAGTAGGGGCTCGTGGAGGACCTGGACGCACTTTCTGTTCCCCCTGAGAAGTCCTACAGCTGGGGAGCCTCCCAGCCCTGGGGGAGGACCGGAGCCGAGAGGCAACTGACATTTATTGAGCTCTTTCTGGGTGCGCCCCACTCGGCTCCCTTAATCCTAACGGCAACCTCATGTTAGACAGAAGGAACAGAGGCTCTGAGAAGCCGATCCGTTTTCCCAGCGTGCTCTGGCGGGAGGTGGGAAGTCAGAGTAGGATCTCTTCGCCTGTGGGCTCTGCTCTCTCTCGTGCCGGGTCGAGGCTGGAGGCAAGGGCCTCTGGGATGTGTACGTGTGACAGGCCCACCGGCCTAGGTCCCGTTCGGTGACAGGGCCGTCCTGGGACTCGGCTCGTTTCTGCCTCCTCTCCACCCACACAGTACACCGCAGAGTCCCCTGCCCTCTCCCTGCCCACCAGTCACTAGCTTGGGCGGCCAGGTTCCCTGGGCTCCCGCTGCACGTGTATGCGGGCGTGCGTGCGTGTGCGCACGTGTGTTTGTTTGCTCTGAGTTTTACGTGTCAGTGCACACACACCCCCACGCAAAACCTCTGTGCATTTTAAGTCACGGTTGTTTTCCCACCTTCAGAAATAGCTGCAGAGGAAGGTGGGAGGTAGTCGAATGTAAACAGGCATACCACTCTCCTGCTCAGGGGAGGGACGGCGCCTCCAGCCGCTCCCCTCCCCAGCATCCTGGAAGCAGGGGGAGGTGGGCGAAGAGCCCCTCTGGCCAGGTGAGCGGCACCTGCCTGGAAGGTGGTAGAACGCATCGTCCCAGGACACTAGAATGGGCACCCGGCCCGCGGCCGGACCTGAGGACGAAGAAACGTGATGTAAATGGCACAACCCCAGAACTTGGGTGGATTCCCGTCTCCTGCCGCCTCCCAGCTACGTGTCTTCAGCGAAGTTCTTTAACCTCGAAGAACCTCAATTTTTTCATGCGCAAACTGGGGGTATTATATTAATGCTTATCTTGTCGGCTCGTTTTGACGGTTAAGTGAAATAAGATACTCAGAGTCTGTGGAGTCCTGGCAAATCTCAGGTGACGAGTAAGTGTTGGTGTGCTTCCCTCATAACCCACGGTTGGAAAACTACCCAGATCGGACTTCTACTCGTGAGGGGACCGGGCCCAGGAAGGCCCCCTGGTTTTTCCCCCATGTTCGTTGTAAACCAAGGCTGGATTTGCCTCCAGGGTGATTCAGCCTGGCCTTGGGGTCTGTGGGAGCCTGGATTACCCATACCTAGGAGGTGGGAAACAGTGGCTTAGATTCTAGGCTATGGGGTGGGGGGCGGGGTGAGCGACCTCTTGGGGGAAGGGGCTCTGGGGCCACAGAGATTGATTCGTAGAGTACACATTCACTGGGCACCTGCTGTGTGCTCTAAGCCCAATGATGACCAAGACAGGTCCCCAGCTGGGGAGACATTTCCATGTGGTGTGGTCCAGGCTATGACAGAAGGGGAGCATGGGACACTGTAAGAGCGTAAGGTGGGCCCCTTAGCCAGCCGGGAGTTGGGGAGGGGGATGGGAGAAGCTTCTGTAGGAGGTGACTGACCTTAAGTAGAGGCTTGGAGAACCACTAGGACTTGTCTAGGAGGCCATGAGGAGACACGAGAAGGGGGGCACGTCAGGGTAACTTCAACTCAAAAGTGTTGCTGTGCATAGTTGGTAAGTGGGAGGCAGGAGGCAAGGGCCTCTGGGATGTATATGTGTGACAGGACGTCATAGAAGGAGAGGCGAACAGCAAGAGAACAGCAAGAGAAGCCAGGAGATCGGCCAGGGACAGGTCCTGTAAGGTCTTACCTGCAGGGCTCAGGAGCTCAGACCCAGGCTTCCTAACCCCACCGCCTTCCTCCAGGGAGCTCAGTCAGGCTGTCGGCAGGTCCTGCCTCCGGGCAGGAAAGTTGGCAAAAACCAAAGCCATACACTAGGAGAGCCTATGCCGACCCCAGGCTGGAGCACCAACTTCCCCAGCCTGTCTGGGTATAGGGTCAGGGACCATTGCCTTTCTACTTCCAGAGTCCTGAGAGCCCACCCTGGAATTTCGAATCTGTACTATTTCCACAACCACCGCCATCCCCTACATACACACACACACACACACACACACACACACACACACACACACACACTGCTCAGAGGGATGCCTGGAAACTTTACCCAGTGAGCCAAAGAAGGCAGGGGAGATGTGAGAAGGTAAGAGAATCTACTCCACATCTCTCGGCTCAGAAGGACTGTGGAGATGACGGTCATTCTAGCATCTCCTCTCCTCCACACACGTGCACGTACACCCCTTCCCGAGTTCTCCCGGAAGCTTCCCAGTTCAATCTCTCCCCCCTTCCCTGAAGACTCACAGTTGCTCCCTCCCCCAGCGGATGGTAGAAAAGGACACCCAAGCCTCAGGGCTGTAGGACGGAACCCAGGAGCCCTGGCTGTCCCCGTCTCTCCGTTCCTTTGCCCTCTGGAGTCAAGCAGGGGTGACACGGGAGGAGGGAGTAGATTCTGCTTCTCTGCCACCTCCTGACTGTGCATCCTTTTCTTCCAGGGCTGCCCCGATGGGGCGTGGCAAGGAATGAGCAGGCCCCGCCCCAGCGGACAAGGATGGAGAGCTGTACCCAGGAGGGCAAGAAGCGATGCCCACCCATCCCCACGTAGAATGACCGTCCCGGGAGGGCGGTTCCCCAGGCCCTGGCAAGGCTGCTGACCCTCGGCCTGCGAACCGCTAAGAGTAGGACTCCAGACTCTCCTTGCGGATGGTTCCCTACCCTGCGGCTCCATCATGAGGCTCCTCGTGGCCCCCCTTTTGCTGGCGTGGGTGGCCGGTGCCGCCGCCGCCGTGCCCGTGGTACCCTGGCGTGTGCCCTGCCCCCCTCAGTGCGCCTGCCAGATCCGGCCCTGGTATACGCCCCGGTCATCCTACCGTGAGGCCACCACCGTGGACTGCAATGACCTGTTCCTGACGGCGGTGCCCCCCGGGCTGCCCGCGGGCACGCAGACCTTACTGCTGCAGAGCAACAGCATTGTCCGCGTGGACCAGAGTGAGCTCAACTACCTGGCCAACCTCACAGAGCTGGACCTGTCCCAGAACAGCTTTTCGGACGCTCGGGACTGTGATTTGCGCGCCCTGCCCCAGCTGCTGAGCCTGCACCTGGAGGAGAACCAGCTGAGCCGGCTGGAGGACCACAGCTTTGCGGGGCTCGCCAGCCTGCAGGAGCTCTATCTCAACCACAACCAGCTCTACCGCATCGCCCCCCGGGCCTTTGCCGGCCTCGGCAACCTGCTGAGGCTGCACCTCAACTCCAACCTGCTGAGGGCCGTTGACGGCCGCTGGTTTGAGATGCTGCCCAACCTGGAGATCCTCATGATTGGCGGCAACAAGGTAGACGCCATCCTGGACATGAACTTCCGGCCCCTGGCCAACCTGCGCAGCCTGGTGCTGGCAGGCATGAACCTTCGGGAGATCTCCGACTACGCCCTGGAGGGGCTGCAAAGCCTGGAGAGCCTCTCCTTCTATGACAACCAGCTGGCCCAGGTGCCCAGGCGGGCCTTGGAGCAGGTGCCCGGGCTCAAGTTCTTAGACCTGAACAAGAACCCGCTCCAGCGGGTGGGGCCTGGGGACTTTGCCAACATGCTGCACCTCAAGGAGCTGGGTCTCAACAACATGGAGGAGCTGGTTTCCATCGACAAGTTCGCCCTGGTCAACCTCCCCGAGCTGACCAAGCTGGACATCACCAACAACCCCCGGCTGTCCTTCATCCACCCCCGCGCCTTCCACCACCTGCCCCAGATGGAGACCCTCATGCTCAACAACAACGCTCTCAGTGCCTTGCACCAGCAGACGGTGGAGTCCCTGCCCAACCTGCAGGAGGTGGGTCTCCATGGCAACCCCATCCGCTGCGATTGCGTCATCCGCTGGGCCAACGCCACGGGCACCCGCGTCCGCTTCATCGAGCCGCAGTCCACCCTGTGCGCCGAGCCGCCCGACCTCCAGCGCCGCCCAGTCCGCGAGGTGCCCTTCCGGGAGATGACGGACCACTGCCTGCCCCTCATCTCCCCCCGCAGCTTCCCCCCCAGCCTCCAGGTGGCCAGCGGAGAGAGCCTGGTGCTACACTGCCGGGCACTGGCTGAACCGGAACCCGAGATCTACTGGGTCACGCCAGCCGGGGTTCGACTGACGCCTGCCCGTGCTGGCAGGAAGTACCGGGTGTACCCCGAGGGGACCCTGGAGCTGCGGAGGGTGACGGCAGAAGAGACAGGCCTGTACACCTGTGTGGCCCAGAACCTGGTGGGGGCTGACAGTAAGACGGTTAACGTGGTCGTCGGCCGGGCCCCCCTGCAGCCGGGCCGGGACAAGGGATGGGGGCTGGAGCTCCGGGTGCAGGAGACCCACCCTTACCACATCCTGCTGTCTTGGGTCCCCCCACCCAACACAGTCTCTACCAACCTCACCTGGTCCAGCGCCTCCTCCCCCCGGGGCCAGGGGGCCCCTGCTCTGGCCCGCCTGCCGAGGGGAACCCACAGCTACAACATCACCCGCCTCCTTCAGGCCACGGAGTACTGGGCCTGCCTGCAAGTGGCCTTTGCCGATGCCCACACCCAGCTGGCATGTGTATGGACCAGGACTAAAGAGGCCGCTCCTTGCCGCAGAGCCTTAGGGGACCGACCAGGGCTCATAGCCATCCTGGCTCTGGCTGTCCTCCTGCTGGCAGCCGGGCTAGCCGCCCACCTTGGCGGTGGTCAGCCCAGGCAGGGGGCGGGTGGGCGGCCTCTCCTTCCGGCCTGGGCTTTCTGGGGCTGGGGGAGTGCCCCCTCCGTTCGAGTGGTATCCGTGCCCCTTGTCTTGCCCTGGAACCCTGGAAGGAAGCTGTCCCGGTCTTCAGAAGGGGAAACACCATCACCACTATTGCTACAAAATTCCTGAAGCTCGGCCCGCTCTCAGCAGTAGACAAATAACGAGGACTACTTTTTACCAAAAGGGAAGCGATCTGGGCCAGATGCCCTGCCAGGAAAGTGACATGGACCCGCGTGCTTGAGGCCTGGCAGCTGGACCAAGACAGACGGGCTTTGTAGCCTCAGGGGGGCGCTCCCACCGCCTCCAAAAAGTTGCCCTTACCTTCCGGGAGCCTGTCCGCTGACATTCTGACGGGCATCTCCAAGGGACAGGAGGGACTCTGGCGAGAGCCTCCTCCCACCCCCCCTAGTTGTCTGTGTGCCCAGAGGCTCCCGGGCTTCTGCTTGGATGTCCCCTGCCTGTGTCCCCAGGCCCTTGGCCCACAGGATGCGCCCCCTCCTCTTCTCTTTCTTTCCACAGTCTCAGTTGCTTGCTCTTTCCCCTCCTGGGCAAGGGCTGAGGGAGGCCTCTCCTCCCCACCATGGGGTGACCGCTCCCAAAGTGGGTCTCTGGTCGGATCTGAAGGACATCTGGGGAGAGGGATGCCCAGGAACGCCTGATCTTGGCAGCCGGTTTGGCACTCTGAGGTTGACTTTCTATAGGCAATTTTGTACCTTTGTGGAGAAACGTGTCACCTCCCCACAACCCAGTTCACTCTTTTCTCCTGTTTTGTAAAAAATAAAAATAAACAAGAATAACAATAGTAAGGGGGGAAAGGAAACCAAGGGAGGATAATCTTTGAATACTAAGTGTAACTGAAAAGCTCTGTGCTCTGGAATCTCTTCACATCCAGGGGGTGGTTGGAGGGAGGGGCTGGGAAGGGACTGGAGGGGAGAGGGAGAAGGTGACAGAGGGCACAGGTGTTCCCTGTAGGTCTGAATTCGGGCCTGCTGGGGTGGGGGGAGGCGGTTGGGGGAGGCTGACAGGAGAGGGAGGAACCACAGGAGGCAAGGAGAGGGTGGGAGCGAAAAATGGAGGAAAGCACAGAGAGAGAGAGAGAGAGAGGGAGAGGGAGTGGAAATTTCCATCACCAAACATTGTCACCCCTTCTCTTTCCCTGATAAGCAATTAACATGCCAGTGCATAGGAAGCACTTGCCGGCCTATTTCTAATTAAACAAACCCAAGAGGCAGAGTCATGCAGAGAATTGCAAATCATCAAGACAGCAAGAACTTTGGCTCACTGGGGCAGAAGGGGGAGTGGGGTGATAGAGGATTTGGGGAGGGGAAGGCTGTGGGAGAAAGAAATTGCTGCATGGATCTTTCCGGTCCATTTCGGTATCATTTGCCATGAGCCTGGTTTGGTTTGCAGTATTTTTTGGTGGGTTTTTTTTGGTTTTGGGGTTTTTTTTGCTTTTTTGGTTTTGAAGACAGATTGACTTGTTAGGACCAAATGCGAAGAGGGGTCTCTGTCGGAAAGGCAATAGAGCCCAGGGGAGGGGGCTGCCGTGCCCGGTCAAGGGGGCCGCTCCAGGGCAGAGGCCACTGGCCACAGCTTTGGTTTTGGAAACGGGCTGAGACGGCCCTGGGTTTCCTGGGACTGAAGAAGCAGCATCGGAACCTGAGCGCCCCTGTGCTACAGACCCAGAGGGCAGACTCATCGCGGGTTGGCTCCAAGCCGCCATGGGGATTGCAAACGTATACGCAGGTGGAAGCCAGGCCAGGAGACGGAGCATCGGGCCCCACGGAACCTAGAAGGAGGACACTCACCCCAAGCCAGAGGGCAGCGCTCCTCTCAGAGTCTCGGGACCACACTTGGAGAACCACGGAGTCCGGCCTGCGGGGGCTAGAAGGTTTCGCTCCCTCCTGGTCTCAGGCATCCAGGCTCTCGCGGCAAAGCCGCCTCCCCGTTGCCACGGAGCTTATACTGCTTGCACCCTTGAATCCCTCCTTCTTGGGGGGAGAAACAGTCACAGGGGTTTAACCTGTCTCTCCTCTGAATCCCAGTCCTAAACGTGGTGGCCATCCCAGAGAAATTAGGCGAGGTGGAAGAGGATGGAGCGAGTGACCTCCTTTCTGTCACAGAGATGCCACTAGAGGGACATCCGTAGCCAGTTGGGGACAGGGAGGAAGAGGCACCTTGCGGGTTGCTGTGTCCTAGAAGAGCTAGAAACCGAGGAAAGGAGAGTGAGCAGCCCTCCCCTGGCACAGAGAGCCAGGTGCATGGCTCGGGTGTGTTTTGCCTGGCGGTTTTGGGGGGGGGGGGACAGCGCGACCGTGCCCCGGAGGTCTATTTAGACAGCCTAACTGGCCGTCCCGGCTTCTACACTAGACCGAGCCTGTGGGCAACTGAACATGCTGGGTCTAAAACCAACAAAACAGCTATTAAGCCCAGTCTCTTCTATACATTTAAGATTGCCCTTTTTTTTTTTAACCCTAAATAGAAAGCAATATTTATTTCCCCTTAAATTTTAAGGTGTTACGTAGGGCCTATCATTTCCATCTACTGAGACGATTTCTGTTGAGTGTAGTAGCTCTCCCTCCCTAGGGCATGCCACTGAGAGGTCCCCTTGCCTTCCATGTGCTCGTCCACGGAGCCAGGACACGGTTCTGTGGCTCACCGCGGCAGCCTTCCCATCTCCTTGACAGGCTCTATCAGTCAATACGTCTGGGATGGCCACTCGGCCAACTGCAGACAGCTTAAGCATGCTATCTTGCAGCCCACATTTCTGCCTTCTCCCCCAGACGGACTTTGTGGGAGGCTGTGTGAAATGCAGAGATAGTGAGCTGGAGGCATTCCTCAGAGCTCTCGGTCCGGTCCCGGCATCAGAGAAGTAAACGCGGTTGGCTGAGCTAGGGTAGGTGACCAAGTAGAATTTTATTGGTCTCAGCATTGAAAGTCCTTTGTTTCAGGAACTCTCCCAGTCCTGGACAAACTGGGATGGTTGGTCACCCTAGTTGAGCAGCCTCTTTCTAATGGCGCCCTCTTCCTTCCTCCCCTCCCCACCCTCCCTCCCAATCAACAAATAGTTAATGAACGTAACGGTCTGCGCGGCTGTAGGAAATGGAGACGTAGATACAGACCTCTGAGCCCATGGACCTGGCTTTTCTAGCGAGAAGGGAGAGTTGATGAGCAGGACACATAAGTAAGAATACGTAGTCTTGTACGATGGTAACGAGTACTATGGAGAAAAAATAAGTCAGGGAAGAGGAGGAGTGGATGTGTAGAGCCTTACACGGGGTGTTCAGGGGAAGGCCTCACTGAGAAGTTGACATCTGAGCAAAGCCTTGGGGGGAGCGAACCAGGCAGTTATCTGGGGGAAGAGAGATCCAGACAGAGAGAATAGCAAAGGTGAAGGCCAAGAGCAAGGAGGTCAGTGTGGCCACAGCAAGAGAGGAAAGGGAAGGGCAACCGTGACGGGGGTTTGTGTCGGGCCTTGTCAGCCACTGGAAGGACTGGGGCTTTTCCTCCAGTTAGAGGGGGAGCCACAGCAGGGTCCTGGGAAGACGCGGCATGGTTGAACTTGAGGGGATGCCTCCTGGTTGAGAACAGCATGGGGGCAGGGCTGGCAGAGGGCAGAAGCAGAGAGGCCAGGTGGGCGTCTGCAATAATCACCTCCAGGTACTCATCACTTCTAGAACATTGCCAGGGATGGGCACTAAGCGCACCTCTGTATTTTCTAAATCTATCCCCTTCCCCATTTTGAAAATCAAAGCCACATTGAGTGTTCCGCAAACTCCCTGCTGCTCTGCTTTTCCAGGTGATTCTTCAAAGGGGGCTCCACCATCATGTTTGCAAGTTCTGTCCGTGCCCTTGCCAGTAATGGCCAGTGGAGGTCATTTAAGGGAGTGAGGAATGACCTTGACTGGCCTTCAGTTCCATCTTGTGTTCGTCAGTCGCTCGGGGAGATGCCACAGTGACTGCCGGAGCCCCTACCCTGCCCTTTCCTCTGTCAACCACTGACAACGCCTTGGCTGTTCCAGGCCCAACGTCTACATTCTTCTTGCTGATTTTACCCAAAGAACCCTCGTGTGTTCCTCAAAGGTTTCCCAAATGTCAAATCAATGTATCTTTAGCCTTCCCAATACAATTTTTTTTTAATATTTATTTGTTTGGGGAGAGCTCAAGTGGGGAAGGGGCAGAGGGAGGGGGACAGAAGATCCGAAGCAGGGTCTGCGTGGACAGCCTGACAGCAGCGAGCCCAATACGGGGCTCGAACTCACAGACCGCAAAATCATGACCCGAGCCAAAGTGGGACGCTTACGTGACTGAGCCCCGCAGGTGCCCCTGACCTTCCCAGTACAATTCTGATGCATTTGCACAGTCCTTTTGCACTTGCCCATTAATTAAAAGCCTCTCCTGTATTTTTTGTAGTAACGGTGATGATTGAACACCTACCACGTGTGGCCACTCTCACAGATGTGTCACACATGCCGCTTCACTTCAACCCACAGCTGCCTTATACAGCGGATGCCACTAGCCCCATTTGATAAATTTGGACGTCAGAGCTCAGAGAGGTTAAATGACTTCCCCAAGGTCACGCAGCTAGTGGGTGGCAGAGTCAGGCTTCAAACACCGTCTGATTCCAAGGGCTCAGGTTTAACCACCCTGCTCTAGTATATTCAAATTCATATACTTCAGAAGTATGTCAGTAGTTTCTCGAGAACACGCGAACTTCTAAAATCTGCATGCCTTAGAGAGCTCCTGCACAGCCACGTTTATTTTTAGACGCTGCCCTCTTTTATTTTTCTTTCTTACGCTCAAGATAATTTGTGACTCCATTGTCAAGACTGCCGTTGTGAAACCTCTTGAACTATATTCTCTTGAGAATCACAGTTTTGATTCTGTTCTCTGAATTTTTGAAACATCCTTTGTAGAAGTCTGGGCGGGAGCGGGGGGGGTTCTGATTTTGTCCCCTCATCCTTCCCTTCCTTAGATACTGTGAACTCTACAAGTACGTGGTGGCTTCCTCCAGAGTTTCTGATCCCTCCCCTCACCGACCAGTTATTCTGTGTCGGTCAGAATTACATCTGGAGCAGGCTTTGCCAATGGGTTTCCATTGCTTCTGAGCTCAGACATCAGCTGGGCAA